ACACACACAGACATGGACACTGGACGCGCACAGAAACGCCCGGAGGCGCACACTCGCGAGGAGGCGCGAACCTGTGACACACACGGGGGCGCAAACGGGGACACAGGGGACGCACACGGGAGACACGCAGGGAGGCACACGAGGGGGCACGGGGGCGCGGGACACTCGGGCGAGCGAGCACACATAGACACGCACACACATAGACACGCACACAGCCACAAACACACACACACAGCCGCGCACGCACACACGCACACACGCAGATACGCACACACAGAGACACGCACACACACACACACACACACACACGCACACGAGCACACACACACACGCACACACAGAAACACAGACACAGGGCACACACAGACACAGGGCACACACACAGACACACAGACACAGACACGGACACGGACACGGACACGGACACGGACACGGACACGGACACACACACACACACACACATTGACACACATTGACACACATTGACACACACACACACACACACACACGCACACACGCACACACACATGCACACACATGCACACACATGCGCACACGCACGCACATGGACACGCACACACGCACACACACACACACACACACACACGCACGCACGCACGCACGCACGCACGCACGCACGCACACACACACACGCACACACAGAGACACAGAGACAGAACACACGCACACAGACACAGAGACACAGAGACACATACTCACACGCAGAGACACACACAGAGACACAACCACACACACAGACACACACACACAGACACACACACACACACAGACACACACACACGCAGACGCACACAGAAACACACACAGAGACACAAACAGAGACACACACACACACAAAGACACACACAGAGACACACACAGAGACTCACACAGAGACACACACAGAGTAGTAATATTAGAGGTGATAGTAGTAGTAGTAGTAGTAGTAGTAGTAGTAGTAGTAGTAGTAGTAGTAGTAGTAGTAGTAGTAGTAGTGGTAGTCGTAGTAGTAGTAGTAGTAGTAGTAGTAGTAGTAGTAGTAGTAGTAGTAGTAGTAGTAGTAGTAGTGTAGTAGTAGTAGTAGTAGTAAAGTAGTAGTAGTAGTAGTAGTAGTAGTAGTAGTAGTAGTAGTAGTAGTAGTAGTAGTAGTAGTAGTAGTAGTGGTAGTGGTAGTGGTAGTGGTTGTAGTAGTAGTAGTAGTAGTAGTAGTAGTAGTAGTAGTAGTAGTAGTAGTAGTAGTAGTCCGGGTAGTCGTCGTATCGTAGTCGTAGTACGTGGTAGTAGTAGTAAGTAGTATGTCGTCGTCAGTTAGTATTTAGTGGTACGTAGTTAGGAATATATCGTAGTAGTCGTACGTAGTGGTGGTGGTGTGGTGGGGTGGTGTGGTGGTAGTGGCAGTAGTAGTAGTAGTAGTAGTAGCAGTAGATAGTAGTCGCAGTGGTAGTAGTAGTAGTAGTATTAGTTAGTACTAGCAGTAGAGTATAAAGAAGTGTTAGTAGTATGAAGTAAGGTACGAGTAGTAGTGGCCAGTAGTGGTATAGTGTAGTAGTATTAGTGGCGGTGGTGTAGTAGTAGTAATAGTCGTAGTATCTTAGTTAAAGTAGTAGTAGTAGTAGTAGTAGTAGTAGTAGTGGTAGTAGTAGTAGTAGTAGTAGTAGTAGTAGTAGTGGTAGCAATAGTAGTAGTGGTAGTCGTAGTAGTAGTAGTGGTAGTGGTGGTAGTAGTGGTAGTGGGCAGACAGGGCACAGGCGGGCGGGGACACACTCGCACACACGGACACACAGAGACACACAGCCAGAGACACACACACATGGACACACACACACACAGACAGAGACACACAGACAGAGACACACAGACATGCACAGACATACACACACACACACGCAAACACACAGACACACACACATGGACATGGACACGGACACGGACACACGGACACACACGGACACACACGGACACACACGGACACACACGGACACACACGGACACACACACACAGACACACACAGACACACACAGACACACACAGACACAGACACACTGACACACACTGACACACACCGACACACACTGACACACACTGACACACACTGACACACACTGACACACACTGACACACACTGACACACACTAACACACACTAACACACACTAACACACACTAACACACACTAACACACACTAACACACACTAACACACACTAACACACACTACACGCACGCACACACCAAACACGACACACAAGACGGACAACACCGACACACGCACGGACACACACGGACACCACGGACACACACGGACACACCGGCCACAACACTGACACAACACACACGGACACACACGGACACACCAGCGGACACGCACCGACCACAAACAGGACACACACCACACCCGGAACACACACACAGACGCACACCACACACGGACATCACACACACAACACACACACACACGGACACACACGGACCACACGGACACACACACACACACACGGACACACACGGACACACACACACACACACACACACACACGGACACACACACACACACACGGACACACACACACGGACACACACACACACACACACGGACACACACGGACACACACATGGACCCCCCCCACACACACACACACAGACACACGGTCACACGTTTCCCAGGCGCTTCGCGGCCGCCACTGGCGCTTTCCAGGCAGGCGCCCCCTCGGCGCCCTCGAAGATTAAACTGGGATTAAATCTTTCTTTGAATGGTGTAGAGATTGAATTCCGATTTAATCCGTTCTCCCACTGCAAGAACGCACTGCTGTACGGATTAAATCGAGATTTAATCCGTATTAAAATCGAAAAACCGGCCGTTTCGCCACAACCACGACAAACCACCACACCACCACCGCCACCACCACCACCACCTTAACCCACCACCACAACTACCACCACCAGCAGAAATCACCACACCACCACCACCACCACCGCCACCAACCACACCACCACCACCACAACCACCACCACCACAACAACAAACCACCACCACCAGCACCACCACCACAGCCCACCACCACCACCACCACCACCACCACCACCTCAGAGAGGCCCCAAGAGACCCCCAAGAGGCGCCCGGGAGGCTGCACAAATGCCCTTTGGAGGCCAAGGCCAGTAGGACTCTGATCCAAAACCAAGGTACGGTGGCGGAGCGTCGTCGTCGTCGTCATCGTCGTCGCCGTCGTCCTCGTCGACGCTCCCGCCGCCGCCGCCCGCCGCCGCAGGCGCCAGCGCCAGCCCAGATAAGGAAGTCGTCGTCCCCGCCGCCGCCGCCAGCCGCCGCCGACACAGGCGCCGGCCCGAGGAGAGGGAGAGAGGAGAAATACGGGAAGAGGGGGAGGGGGGGGGGATTCGAAACCCACCCACCCCTCCAAGCGACCACAGAACGCGCTCTGTCGGTGGTGCCGATCCTCCCTCGTTCTCCTCCTCCCCCTCCTCCTCCTCCTCCTGCCCTTGCTCCGTGGCGCCCCACTCCGCGCTCCGCGCCGCGCGCAGCGCAGAAGCACGGTGGCTCGCCACGCTCTCGCGCCGCGCGCTGCCCTCCCGAGAAGAACACCTCTTCGGGCCACATCGCGAGGCGCAAAGCCAGGTGATCTTTGCAACGCTCCCGGTGGCCTGGCTCGCCCTCCTCATGCGACGGCCTCCCTCCTCCGCCTTCGCTTCCTCTCCCCTTCCTCCTCCACATCCGCCTCCTCTCCCCCCCCTCCTCCTCCTCCTCCTCCTCCTCCTCCTCCTCCTCCTCCTCCTCCTCCTCCTCCTTCTCCATTCCTTCTCCTTATAGGTAACTCCTCCCTGTCGCACCCCGACGCTAGTTTTTAGGGCGGGCTGGGCGTTTCGCCTGAGACCTCCTCACCATTTATGACTCTGAAGCTAAAAGTGACAACAGCTTCACAGATGGAGGGCGGGTCGCTTTCAAAATGTGGCTCTCGCCCTAGCGCCGCGCACATTCGTTTTCAAAATTTGCAAGAGCTTCACGGATTGAGGGCGGATCGTTTTCAAAATGTGGCTCTCGCCTTAGCGCCTCGCACAATCGCTTTTACAACTTGCACGAGCTTCACGGATTGAGGGCGGTCCCTTTTCAAACTGTCGCTCTCGCCTAAGCGCCGCGCACATTCGTTTTTTGTAAGAGTTTCACGGAATTCCATGATCAACGTACCAGAAATAGCGTTTTGGAAGGATTCTGGATCATGCGGGCGCAACAGTTATCTTGATTCGCTGTGTTGAAGTCTCAAAATGGCGTTCTGGCACGATTCTGGACCAGCAAGACGCAGCAGTCAGGTTGATACGTGGCGTTGAAATCCCGAAAACAATGTTTTGGCACGCTTCAGGATCTTCAAACTGTTGTCTTCCAACGAGGAAGTTCCCTCAATCCAAATGAACCATTGTAGGGGCCTACGAAAAGGGAGCTTGGAGGGAGGGTTAATTACAACATCGTTGATGACTCTTGGGTTTCCACTGGTGCTCCTCCTCCTCCTCCTCCTCCTCCTCCTCCTCCTCCTCCTCCTCCATCCTCCTCTCCACCTCTGGGGTAGGTTTCAGTGGAGCCCGCTTGCATCGGTAACACTTTGTGCATGGCCTCTGGTCGGTTGCCGACTGATTCAGCTCGCCTTCCTTACGGTCGGGAACTTTTGCCGAGCGTGTCGCGGCGGCGGCCCTGGCGACACCCAATACCCTGCGAGCGGATCGCGTGTCGCTGCGCTCCGCGTGGCGGCAGGCTGGGAATCGCTCGAAACCTTGCCGCCTGGAGACCGGGAAGTCGTTCGCGTGTCGCACCGAAGTTCGTGGTGGGTCGGAACAGGCGGCGCGACGCGCTCAGCCAACTCTCTGCGTATTTTCAAAAGGGGGGTCTTCTCAGAAGGCTCGGAAGGCCTCGGGCCTTCTGAGAAGCTTTCCAGGCCTTCTCCGACCGTAGATTCACCCCGCGAAGCGAGGGTCAAAAAAAGATCCTCCCTCTCCTTTTTTGCCCACGGCCGTCATCCTCGTCCTCCTGTGCACGTGGCGGCCGCCGAGGCACAACTGTCCGAGGCCGACAGCTCTGCCCCCCGTGCGGTGGAGCAGCTGCGGGAAGAGCCGACGACCAGCAGGCCCTCTCAAAAAGTCACTACGGCAGGTTCGTATGGGCCGGCCGCTGCGTGCGCAGCGGGGCCAGAACTGCGCGCTCCGGACGGTGCCTTACCGCCCCGCAGAGCACCGCTTCGGGCTGCGTGTGCCCAGGTGGGGGACTACCTCCGCCGCGCTCTGTAGACTTTCCCGGCTGGCCCCTCTGAGACACAAATGGCGGACTCTGGGGGCTCACATCTCGGGAGCGGCCAAGAGGGGGGTGTCCAAGAGGGGGGGGGGGCCAATCATGACCGGCGGCATGTGCGCGGCCCAGCGGGGGGGCCAGGAACGTAATGAAATAAGAAGAGGCGCCACGACATCTCGGGAAACATCATGGCCGACGCCATGATATCTACCCCCCCCTAGTCATCGCCCCCCTCTTTTCCGCCCCCGAACATCCGACGGCTCAGAGCTTCACCACGTTCATCCACGCCTGGAAGCTGCCCTTGGACTTGTCGTACGACTCGGCCGCCCAGCCCCAGTTCCGCTCCCTGCCCGCCACGCCGAGGTCGGCCAGGTCCTGGAAGAAGACATCGGCCTCCTTCATGCCTGCTGCGTCATCCTTGCGATAGAACGGCGCGCCCTTGGTGGTCACGTACTCCATGCTCTCGCGGAGGCTGTAGAGCTTGGTGGTCAGCAGGCTCTTCAAATTCTCGGACTGCTTCTTCTGAATCAACTCTGGGACCTTGTCGAGCATCGACACGTACTCGATCACCCTGGCCTTGTTCCTCTCGTAGAGCTTCTCCTGCAGGGCCTTGTTGTTCGTGTACTCGGAATCCTTCGGGTTGCTGAACTGCGAGTAGGGCGAGACCGCATCCGGGTCGATCTGCTGGTAGGCGTCCGACACGGCGCCCTTCCCGCTGCCGTCGAAGCCGAACACTGAGAACCGTGCCTGCGCAGCCTGCGCCTGCTGCTGCTGCCCCGCGACGGCGGCGGCGGCGGCAGCGCCGATGACGGCCCGGCGGTCCACCGTCGGCACGAAGCAGCCGGGCAGCCAGCAGAGGCCGGCGAGCGCGAGCGCGAAGAAGGCCGCCGGGAGGGCCCTGCTGCCGGCACGCGCCATCGGTGCTACTGCGTCCTGGTCTGGGGGAGGAGGGGGGGCAAGCTGCTGGCGTCAGCCACGGACGCTTGAGCCAAAATGGCTCCGGGAGAAGGACAGGGAGAAAGGAGCAGGAGGAGAGGAAGGAGCCGGGAGGAGAGAGGGAGCAACGACGCGGACAACGACCAGGATAAGGAGGAAAGAGGAGGACGAGGAGGAACAGAAGGAGGACGGCGACGACAACAACCACTATAGACCACAGGACGTCCATGGATTTTGGTGTGGGAACGTCACGCTTTCCATACCAAAACCATCGAAACCAAAGAAACCCAGGGCACCCTGGAGGCAAGCAGGGTGTTTCTTGGCATGGGTCTCAACTGTCTTGGCGATGGCGCAAATCAGACCATGGCGCTACCCCTCCGCGCACATTGCGTGGGGTCGGAGAGTGTACTCACTGAAAACAGCAGCAGCGTGAGGGAGCTTATGAAAGAAAATCACCCTGCAATCGAACGGCTTGAAGGCGGCAAGATTCGTGGCGACGGCGACGGCGACAACGACGACGGCGGCGATCACGGCGACGACGAGGACGACGACGACGACGACGACGACGACGACGACGACGAGGACGACGACGACAACGAGGACGACGACGAAGACGAAGAAGACGCAGACGAAGACAACGAAGACGAAGGCAATGAAGACTAACACGAAGACGAAGACGACCAGCCAAGACTTCTGAACGATCCAGGCGCCCAATTTTCTTTGGCGAGGCGAAGCTGAGGGGAAGGGCCTTGATTTCCCAGCTCAGCTCGCATTTCAGGAGGAGGGGGAGGAGGAAAAGCGACGAGAGTAAAAATAGTGTGCACTGGTGGTACCAATACGAGGACGAGGAAGAAGAGAGCAACGGACTACATCGAAACCCAAACCACAGTCTTGCAATCGCCCGGGCCCCGAAGGGGCGGAGCGGTTGACGGAAGGGCATCGCAAAGCGGAAAAGCGGGAGGAGGTGGAGCAGCTCGCGCTGGGGAGCGCGAAGGACTCGGGCGCATCTCTCGGGGGGTGGGGGTGGAAGGCAGGGGCTGAGATGCCCGGCAGAGAGCAAACCTTGGGGAGTGGCCGAGCCATGAAGGCCGCCCCTCCCCGTTCTCGAGGCGTCGCGACAGAATCGCGACGGATCTGTTTGTCACAGGGGTCTCGTCTTTTTGCGGGGGGGGGGATGCGTCGCGAAGCCTCGGCCATCCCAGGCGCACCACGAGGAGCGCCAGAACGGCGACCAAGGTGTGAGGGGGCCGCGCGAACGCTTCCTGGGGGCGTGCCGCTTGCTGAGGATGGGGCAAGCCGAACATCTCCGGTGCGGAAGAGCGCGAATGCTCCGCTGCGCTCTCTTTCCGTCGGGCCGCACCTGCGCGGAGTCCCTTGGCAAGCATCCGTGGCCCACGCGATGGACACGGTCCAGGGTCCAGAACGGCAAGAGAGCACTGGGACCACACACCGACTCGTCGCGCAGTCCCGAAGATCGTCAAACTTTGCCAGCAGCCGGGGGGCGAGGGAAAGCTGCTGTCAAGGCACAGGCACACCTCCGAGTACCGCATGCAGTCCCACACCTCCTTGCCATCCTCCTCCTCCTGCTCCTCCTCCTCCACTGCGGTCCACCTGCAGGCGCCCGGGACGGAGGACCCGAGGACTCCTCCTCCTCCTCCTCCCCCTCCTCCTCCTCCTCCTCCTCCTCCTCCTCCTCCTCCTCCTCCTCCTCCTCCTCCTCCTCCTCGGCTCGAGGCCCTCTGCCGTCGGGCGGCCCGAACACGGAAGCCCAGAGACGAGACCCTCGACCCCGAGAGGAGCAGCCTTCCAGGGCGGGGCGGGCTCGCGGTCAGAATCTGCACAGGAAGGGCGGGCGGTAAGGGCGCGAGGGCCCCAGCCGCCGACGCAGCGCTCCAAAGGACGCCGCCCGCCCCAAGGCTGGCCACCGACGGCGGCGAAGGACGGGCAAGGACGCAAGGGCACCCACGGGAAAGCCGTCGGTCCTTACTACATTGTGGGGTTTGCCCGTAGAGCGGCAAAACGCGGCACCGGCCTTGTCGGGGTGCCACCGCAGCGCGGCTTTGCGGTAGGCCTTCTTGAGGGTGCCATCGTCCAGGTCACTGCGCAGGCGACTCAGCGAATGCGCGTTTGATCTCGGACTCGCTAAGAAGACTTCGTCTGCCTCATGCTGCACCAAATTATGAGCTGGCCGACACCACCACCCACCAAGTTCCACCACCACCACCACCTCCGCCCATCGCCACTGCACGAAAGCATAAATCCGCCGACTCTGCCAGCGAGTGTGAGAGGATTTTCCGTTTGAGTCGTCGTCGTCGTCGCCGTCGCCGTTCCCCCCCTTGGCGCTTCTCCGTTTGAGTCGTCGTCGTCGACGCCGTCGTAGCTCACCCCCTTTCCCTGGGCCCTCCTCCTCAAGCGTTCCAGGAGCGCGTTTCTTTATTTTCGGCGATAATGGGCATGATAGGGGGGGGGCCGGGGGGAGGTATAACGTAACGCCTCCCCTCCGCCGTGTGGCTCCAGCACCACAGCCGCGCCCGAGCGCACGACGACGATGAGCGACGAGCGACGAGCGACGACGACGACGACGACGACGACCACGACCACGACGCGAGCAGCATGTAGGTGGCGACCTGCCCCACAGCGCCTGTGTACACCACAATGTTCGCGAACACCACAAGGCGCGTGTACGCCACAGCGCCTGCGTACACCGCATCAGCCGTGTTCGACGCAGCGCCTGTGCACACCACAGTGCTTGCGTGTACCACAGCGCCGGTGTACACCACAGCGAACGTGTAACACCGCAGCAACCATGTGCAACACAGCGCCTATGTACAACACAATGCTTGCGTGCACCGCAGCGCCTGTGCACACCACAGCGCCATTCTACACCACTGCATCCGCGAGCACGCAGCGCTCGTGTACACCACAGTGCCTGCGTGCACAGGACAGGTAGAACAAGCATGTAGGTGAGGATCTGCTGCGGACAGCTAAACGCCACGCCAGGAAAGTGTTGACACTAGAATGCGACGTTCTTCTCTTCTCCCTCCTCCTCCTCATCCTCCTCCTCCTTCTCCTCCTCCTCCTCCTCCTCCTCCTCCTCCTATGCGGATTCCTATGCGGACGCCGATGCGGATCCCGATGCGCACGGCGGCAGTGCCCGAAGCGCACTGGAGTGGGAGGGGCGTTACGTTATTGGGGGGGGGCGGGGGCCACAATGCCCATTATGCGCCAAGCAATAAAGAAACACGCTCCAGCCAGAGGGAAATCGAACAACGTCACATTCGAACCATTCGAGTCGAACGGAAGCTCCTTCCCTTTGATCCCTCCCCCGCCGTCTGGCGGGGTCCCAAGGGGGGTGGGGCGAACGCGGGGGTCCTGGGGTTGTGACCTGCCCCCCCGAGGGGGAGCACCCTTCCCTCAGACACCTCGAGCTCACTTGCATCACGGCTTGCTCCAAGAGGGCCCTGAAGCGGATCAAGATCGCTCCAAGACGGCCCAAGATACCCTCAAGACGGCCTCAGAAACATCCAAGACGCCCCAAGAGGGCTTCAAGAGAACCCCCAAGAAGGCCCTTAGAGCCGAAAATCTTGGATTATCATGTGGTAGTTCTATGTTTTTCGCGCCATCGCCTTCACCTCGTCGTCGTCGTCGTTCTCCTCCTCCTCCTCCTCCTCCTCCTCCTCCTCCTCCTCCTCCTCCTCCTCGTCCTCGTCGTCGTCGTCGTCGTCGTCGTCGTCGTCGTCGTCGTCGTCGTCGGCGTCGGCGTCGACAGCGTCGTCGGCGTCGTCGGCGTCGTCGTCGTCCTTCAGGGTCAGCGGCACCAGCCGTAAGGCCTTCGCAATCGCGAAGGCATTCAGTCGTTAATCAGAGCGGCCCCGAAAGCGTGATACCGCTTCCATTGATGTCCCGATGTGAACTGGCATTTCTACGCTTAAACAATGTGCTAGATCCGCCACCGTGCCCCCTGGCACGTTGAGGCGCGGTAGAATGCCAAGTGCTGTCTGTAGGGTTTGCGCCAGTCTCTCAAGGCCAACCGAGCAGCTCGCATCCCCCCTTCCCGAGATCCCCTGGGCGGTCCGACGCCTCCCTGGCACTCTCCAACGCTGCGCAAGACGATGTAAGGCTTGCAACGCGGCCCAGGAGGGACACGAGGAGCCCAAGATCAACTCAAGAGGCACCCAACGGCCGCCAAGAAGACCCCAATAGACGCCCAGGGGCGGCCCAAAGAGGCTTCTGAGGCACAGATAAGGCTAAGAGCCCGTCCAGCAAGACCAAAAGCACCAAAAGGCCCACAGCCTCAAAGCAAATGGAGGAGTGTCCTGGGTGCTTGGATTTTGTGGGTGTACCAAGCCTCTCGGCTCAAGATGGCTCCGAGAGGGCCTCGGAAGAGCCAAAGAAGCCAAAGGAGCCCAATGAGGAGCCCAAGGAGCTTCGAAGGCAGCCCACGACAGCCCCAAGAGGGCCCCAAGACGACCCAAGCGGGGCTCAAGACAGCCCGAGAGGGCAACAAGACGGCCCAAGAGGGCTCCATCGACCTCCCAGACAGCCCTAAGAGACTCGCCCGACGGCCGAGAGTAGCCCAAGACCGCACCAAGACGGCCCAGCAGGGCCCCAAGACGGCCCAAGATGGTCTCAAAAGGGCACCCAGACGGCCCCATATGAGCCCAGGACAGCACCAAGACGACCTACGGAGGCCCTATGAGAGCCCCTCCCGAAGGAGAGACGAAAGGTCTTCGGGCGGTGCTCGAAGTGTCGCCATACAGTAGTGTGCTGGCACGGTAGCGAAACTTGTCGCAGACAATATATGACCACGCCGAGACATACTGATTACCAGGATCACTCTTGACATCTGGTGCATATGGTCTACACGCCCAGTAGACTGCTAATTCAATAGGGCCGCATATTAGATGGCTTTCGGTTGTGTATGCACCAGAAATACAGTCTCCTGGAGATTGTCTGTAAGTGCCCATAAGTGAAAGATTCGGTCTCATGCACATCTACCAGCTTGCAGGAGCATCCGACAGCCTTTGACACTACATGCTGGATCAAGTCCATCTGAAACCAGC